ATGGACATAAAAATAGTTCAAATGAACAAAAATAGTTCAAATGAAAAAAAATAATTCAAATGAAAATGACAAAAAAAGTTAAAATGGACATAAAAATAGTTCCAAATGGACATTAAAATATAGTTCAAATTAACAAAAAAATAGTTCAAATGAACAAAAATATAGTTCAAATGAACACAAGCATAGTTGAAATGAACAAAAAAATAGTTCAAATGGACATAAAAGTAGTTCAAATGAACTTGAAAATAGTTCAAATGAAATAGTTCAAATAAAAAAAAATAGTTTAAATGAAATAGGAAAAAAATATTTCAAATGAAAATGACGATAAATTAGTTAAAATGGACAAAAAAAATATTTAAATTGAACTCAAAAATAGTTCAAATGGCCAGAAAATTAGTTGAAATGAACAAAAAATAGTTCGAATTTAAACTATTTCATTTGTACTATTTTTTTCATTTGAACTATTTCAGTTGAACTATTTTCATGCTCAATTGAACTATTCTCTGTCCATTTGAACTATTTTTTTTTTTCATTTGAACTATTGGTATATTCCTAGAGAACGATTTTTGGACCCCCCCCAGGCCCCGCCCCTCCTACCAATTTTGTACATGGATCTTACAGAAAGTGTCTCAACTTAACCTAACCTGTGGCCGCAGCACTCGGCCCCCTAGCCCATCCTAGCCGCAGCGCTCGGCCCAGAAAGTGTCTTAACTAACCTAACCCGTGGCTGCAGCGCTCGGCCCAGAAAGTGTCTTAACCTAACCTAACCCTAAATAGTAATAAATATAAATACTAATTACTAATTTCTTCATGTACAAAATTGATAGGAGTAGGGGGCCTGGGGGGGGGGGGTCCAAAAATCGTTAACTAGGACAGACCCGAACTATTTTATCATTTCATTTAAATTACATTTTTCATTTAAACTATATTTTTAGTTCAGTTCTTTTTTTTTTCATTTGAACTATTTTTTTTCATTTGAACTAATTTTATGTTCATTTGAACTCTTTTTTTTTATTTGAACTATCTAATTTGAACTATTTTTATGTTCATTTGAACTATTTTTTTTGTTAATTTAAACTATTTTTATGTTTATATTTGACACATTTCTGTGTAATTGTTATCTATAAATTTATAATTGTCATCATTAACTAACTTTATGGAAATTATAAAAAAAAAATTAAAACTGAATTGGTAAAAAAATAGTTCAAATGAGCAAGAAATGTGTTGATTTAAACTACAGGATATGACGTCATGTCAGTAGTTCAAATGAAAAATAGTTCAAACGAACAATAGTTCAAACGAACCATAGTTCAAACGGCTTTAGTTCAAATGAGAATCCACCTTAGCTTCTGAGCTTCAGTTAGCTAACCATCAAAATACTCAAGTAAATGCAGCAACTAAAAATTAACCAGATTGTTATATTTTGACAGCGTTTGGTCGTCTTTATAGTCTTATCCTTTGTGGGTAGCACTGTAGCTATTTTGTATTGAGTATCCTAGAAAAGAAAAATCATGAATTACCATTCTATTTGCAAATTCTTGATATTAGATATGTTTCCAGTTTTTCCAGCAAAAGTGTAAACCTAACCCTCCGGGGTATGGAACTAAAAATTGGATTTGTCAGAGAGCCTCATGGGATTTAAAATTATTTCTTAAAATAACAAACAGTAGGAATCTCACCACAACTGAGTACAAAATAAAGATCAGTGTAATCTGACCAACAAGGTTATTGTGTACTGCTTATGGTAATTGAGCACGTTCGACTTTTTTCAGTTCATTTGTTCAACTTGAACGAACCATTTTGTTCGTTCTTCGTGAACAAACCATTTCGTTCATTCATCATGAACGAACCATTTCGTTCGTTCATCGTTATTGAACAAACCATCCTGTTTGCTCATCTTAAGTGAATGAACCATTTTGTTCGTTCATTGTTAGTGAACGAGCCATTTTGTTTGTTCATCGTTAGTGAACGAACCATTTTGTTTGTTCATCGTTAGTAGACAAACTATTTCGTTTTTTCATCAGTAGTCAATGAACCATTTTGTTTGTTCATTATAAGTGAACCAACCATTCCGTTCGTTCATCGTTATGTAAACGAACCATTTTGTTTCTCCCCTCTATATTTGAAATTTTTTAATGAAGGCAACAATCAAGAGTTTGAAATGAAAAGATAAAAGATATTTGGTCAACTGTATGTGTATTTCTTTATTTATAAATACTGCAAAATAAAATGAAAGAAAAAGATTTCCTGTTTTTTTAATTGCATTTTCTTAAACTTGCATTTGAAAGGAAAACTATTTTAAAATTTAGAAAATGTACGTTTAGAAACAAATTTTATTGCTTAGATTTTGTAAAATAATATACTTCAAATAATTTCAAATATTAAATTATCTGAAATCTTAAATTTGAAATTTGAGATTTGGATATTGAGTGAGTATTATGAACAGGAAGTGGAAATAATGAATCTTTAAAACTTATATTTCTTGGTTTTCTGAATTCCTTATGGGTACTGGGTACATGTTTGCAAAAAAAGGATAAACAAATGTAAATACAAATATGTAATTCTCATGAAAATTTAAATGAGAGCAGATAATAAAAAAAATGATAAAGATAAAATTATGTTATAATTTCCAATTAAATTTACATAATATTATTAACGATTTACATCTAAAACCTAAAATAAAATCTTGAAAATAAAAGTGCTTGTCTTATAGAAAAGCCCATAGGATTAAAAAACAAAATTTCATACTAAAATTTGCTTAAATGAAGTTTATCTGAAAAGTTTTATTTTAGCAAATTTACTGTTTTTTATACATTTTAAAAGTGTCCTTTATGTAAGTTGTAGACTTGTTAGAATTGCCTTTCTCAAAAACAATTATATTTTTTATATCTTCCCAGGAAACTAAATCTGATCAGTGTAAATGCATTTACAAAAAAAGTGTTTTTTGTTGTTTTTGATTTCAGATTAAAAATTAAGTATTAAAAGAAAGTACTCACTTTAAATTACATTAACTGTGCCTTTAAACTTTTTTTAGGGTTAATAAAAACCATTTTTTTTCTTCCAAAAATTTGGAACGTAAATAGAAGAATAAATTATTCTCAACTTGTTGTTTATCCAAGAAAATTGAGACAATTGGAAAATTCTTTCGCAAAATCATTGTGGTTTTGAATTCTATTAAATCAAATAAGATAAGTTTGAAATATTAAAGCTTTATACTAATAGGTTGCAAATACAGAGAGCTTAAAACATTTGATTTTGAGGCCTGCAAAGACTATACTTCTTTAAAATATATGAAATTGTAAATAATTAAATGTTTTTTTTGTGAAACTTTTCAGTCAAATATTTAAACTAAACCTTTAGAAAAAAAAATTGATTAAAACGTATTATTTCAATTAAATGTAAATTATTAATTTAGATGAATAATCTTTAAAATAAACTTCATTTAAAACATTTCAGATTGAAATCCTTGATAATTCAGAAAATAAATCAAAAAGCTAAACATTAATAAAATAGTTTTAATTGGTAATTAAACATTTCATCAACCATAAACGCCTTCACAAATTGAAAAATATACTTCAATGTGAATTTAATGTTAATTCTTATCAATGCAGAAATCACAACACTTTTTTGCGGAACGAAAATTGACCCTTTTTTACCAAGCTCAACTTTTCTTATCCCTATGTCTTTGAAACATGATGGTGAACACATTTTAAATTTTTAATTTTAAAAGTTTAGAATTTTGTAAATTTGCAAATGTTTTCAGATATCATTAAAGTACCTCTGTAATTCTTAAACTTAAAATAACTATTCTAATAAAGGAGAATGATTAGTTTTTAAACAATAATATCATTCATACCTAGGGATGTTAACGTTTTCATTTTCAGAAAAACGATCGTTTCGTTATAAAAACGACGACGAGAAATCGAAAACGAAACGATCGTTTTTTTAAAAAGTTCGTTTTGGTCGTTTTTAAAACGATCGTTTTTCAAAATGCTCGTTTTTAAAAACGATCGTTTTTCATATCGATCGTTTTTATGAAATTCGCTGTTTCGTTAACGATTGTTAACGACGACCCTTCGGTAACGATCGTTAACGACGACCCTTCGATAACGATCGTTAACTACAAACCTTCGTTAACGATCGTTAATGACGACCCTTCTTTAACGATCGTTAACGACCCTTCGTTAAAGAGCGTTAACGAAGAGGGCATCTGTACTTATCATTGAGTAGTTTTTAAGAAAATAGCAAGAAGTTTTAACTCCTCAACAACTGTTAAAATTCATGTAAGACGACATTCAATAAAGTTGCAAATAATTTTTTTTCCAAAAACGACCATTTTGATAAAGTTCGTCGTTTCGTTAACGATCGTTAACGAAAACCCTTCGTTAACCATCGTTAACAACGACTCTTTGTTAACGATCGTTAACATAATTGTCAATAAAATTTTTTTTTCAAAAACGATCGTTTTTTAAAAACAATCGTATAAAAACCGGTCGTATAAAAACGATCGTTTTCAAAGGCGATCGTTTTTTCCGAAAAAGAAACGATCGTTTTAGAAAACGAAACAAAAAACGATCGTTTACAAAAACGATTTACAATTCTATTCATACTCCCTCCCCCCATTGCAGCTTCTTTTGGAATAAACTCTGTGTGTATTGGAAAGAATTGTTAGATCAAGATTGTACTTGTACATTGTAATATATGTTGTAATTAACTAAATGTGTAATTACAGACCCACAACAGTGCTATCAATTTCATACATTAGTCCAAAACTAGTTTAACATAAAGGATTTGGGAATAAACTTTCCACATTAAAAAAATTGTTGTTTTTCAAAAATCTGTACTTTCAAGATCTGTACTTACAAGATCTGTACTTACAAGATCTGTACTTACAAGATCTGCACTTACAAGATCTATACTTTGATTATATCTGTACTACGCTGAGATCTGCATTTTCAAGATCTGTACTTTTAGTATCTGTACTTTCATGTGTAATACTTTCAAGAACTGTACTTACAGAGATCTGTACTTTTATGATCCGTACTTTCAAGATCTGTACTTTCAAGATCTGTACTTTCAAGATATGTACTTTCAAGATATGTACTTTCAAGGTCTTTACTTTCAAGATCTGTACTTTCAAGATCTGTACTTTCAAGATTTGTACAGTCCAGATCTGTACTTAAAAAGATCTGTAATTTCAATACTTGTAATTTTAATATCCGTACTTTTAAAATCGGTACTTTCCAGATCTGTACTCTCAAGATCTGTACTTTCAAGATCTATACTTTCAAGATCTATACTTTCAAGGTCTGTGCTTTCAAGATTTGTACTGTCCAGATCTGTACATTCATGATCTGTGCCTTCAAGATCTGCACTCTCAAGATCTGTACTTTTAAGATCTGTACTTTCAAGGTCTGTACTTTCAAGATTTGTACTTTCAAGATCTGTACTTTCAAGATCCATAATTTCAAGGTCTGTGCTTTCAAGATTTGTACCGTCCAGATCTGTACTTTCAAATATGTACCTTCAAGATATGAACTTTCCAGATCTATACTTTTAAGATTTGTACTGTGCAGATCTGTGCTTACAAAGATCTGTAATTTTAAGATATGTAATTTTAATATCCGTAGTTTCCTGATCTGTACTTTCAAGATATGTTTTTAAGATCTGTACTTTCCAGATCTGTACTTTCCAGATCTGTACTTTCAAGATCTGTACTTTCAAGATGTATTCAATCTGTTGTAAATATCTTGAATTTAATATTTCTCTTGAGTGTGTCCTTAAAATTAATGGTAACTATTTGAAAACTAGAAAATTAAAATACTGAAATTTTAAAATCAACTTTAATCTTTTCTACTTTGTAAATAGAATCGTACAATTAGTTACTTTTTCAATTTTTTGTAACGACAATTTTTTTAAATCAATTAAACTTCCTGTATTGTAAATAAAAATGAATTAAGTTATATTAAAAGCATGAGACAAAGAAAAATATAAATGACATTCCTTTGTACAGAGCTAGTTTAGCATAAACCCTCAGGAATAAGTTTTTAGATTAGTAGAGTTTAATGTACATTACTGCATACCAAAAAATCATTTTTTTAAAGAAATTATAGAGGACGTGAGTCAGACTCTAATAAAACGCATAAATAACTTCCAGTATATATATTTCTTATAACTTATTACTAGAGGGTTCAGAACTAGAGTCAATATCGATATCGCACGTGTAGACTGTAGAGATCATATCAGTACTAATGCCCCGTATCCATTCTATACTATCTCATTCTGTTGAATCTTGTGGAACTAGTTTAACGCGGCCAGGCATCGTCTTCCACAAAATGTTTATTTTCTCTTTCATTTAGATTGTTAAGATTTTATAATTTTGTGAATTTTTCTTAGCTGTCATGAGACATGTTTTGGCAAAAAATCAAAACCCCAAATGAATTGTGTGACTGCCTTAAAACTGCCTAAAAAGTCTTTTTGAAGTAAAATAAGTAAATATCACATCAAAAGTAATTTTTAGGCCGTCTTTTGACAGTCAGACAGTTAACTTAGGACATTAATATGCTTCCTATACAATAAGAATTTTAACTGTTAAAAAAAAGTTACAAATTTGGCGACCCCGCCATTACCAGTTCAAGAAACAACGAAAAAAATTTAAATTAAATTTGGATTTAAGACCTCCGTCAACGCACTTGTATTCTGAGATTTCTTGAAAATTATTTTTTTCAAATTGTCAATTTCTTAAAATTGAGAATTTAACCCAGTAAACTGAATATCGATATATTTCAAAGAAAAGACTTAAATGTTTTTACTTGAAACGTGTTCGTCTTTTTTCAGCAGTGTGTTAAAAAAAACATAAAAAATATCATAACTTTTTGGTTATTTAAGCTATCGATCTAATAAACACATGTGTCAAGTCTTTATATTTTTCAAAAAACAAATTTTAACTTCTGTACTTAAAAGTTCTGTACATACAAGATCTGTACTTACAAGATCTGTACTTACAAGATCTGTACTTACAAGATCTGTACTTACAAGATCTGTACTTACAAGATCTGTACTTACAAGATCTGTACTTTAAAGATCTGTAATTTCCAGAACTATGCAATATTTTTCAATAATATTATTTTTTTTAGCCTATGTCACCCCAGGCTACCTGCAATAAGTGTCCAAAAAATTTCAGCCCATTCTGTCCAGCCCTTTGGCTGGCTATTGGGAACATACATACGAATGTCTTGTTTGATTTAATACTAGCTGAAAGGCCAGCCTTGCCCGTGGGAAAAAAAAATAAAATGTTGTAAAAAAAAATTTAAACTTTGAAAAAAAAATTTTCGAATTTTTTCTTAAGCCTAATTGGCCGGCTATACGGAACATATTTATATAAATGTCTTGTTTTATCATATAGATCTAGATTATATTAATTCTTGCCTCAAATTAAACTTAGTATTATGTATTTTCAAAATGAAAGAAGCAATTTTCAAAGCATCTGACTATTAAGCATCTTGTTTTTGAGCGTCCAACAGTTTAAAATTTTTTTTCAGTAATTGTTAAAATATTATAAAACTTTCCAGGAGACTTAACGTTAAAAGGAGTAAACTGTTGTTAATATAATATTTATTCAACCGTTGAAGATGTAAATTAAAATTAGATTCTTAACTTATAATTTAAAGTTTAAAGATGAGGGTTTAACTATAGCTTAAATTCAAAATACATAACCTTTATGGATAGAATGGTTTAATATATATTTAAACACTTGTAATCGGAATAGGGAAATTGGAATATTAATTTTTCTTTGCAATTTATTGCGGTTTAGAGAAAATACAGTTCAAGAGTTTTTATCACTTTTTCTTAAATTTTAGTCCATGGAAAAATGAAATTATTAAATTTTTAAATAAAAATTGAACCTCTTTTTTAATTGATAATATATTATATTTTTCTTTATAAATTGATATTATATTAAATACCATTTGAACATAAAAAACAGCTTTAGTTATATTAAAAGCATGAGACAAAGAAAAATATAAATGACATTCCTTTGTACAGAGCTAGTTTAGCATGAACCCTCAGGAATAAGTTTTTAGATTAGTAGAGTTTAATGTACATTACTGCATACCAAAAAATCATTTTTTTAAAGAAATGTTTATTTTCTCTATTATACAGTTTCAAAATAGCATCTGGACTGTTAAAATAAAATTCTTGGTTAAGGGAATGAATTTTTGAAATGGAAATAGCTCGTTTTTTTATTTAAATCTATGGTCATTGAATTATCACTTTGCAGAGCATTTCCTGAATGTTTTAAGTCATTGACAAATGGTAATGGTAATTCATTCAATAAAATAGGGGTTATTTCATTTTAATTAACCCTTTCTTTAGAAAAAATAAGCATTTAGTTTTACATTTTTCGATTCTAATATTTTTAAATTTCAATTTAGTAGCTTTGGCAAAATTTTCACCGTTACTGTTGTGCAGAGGAAATATATAAAATAAAAGTTTTAAAATAATATCAATGATGTACGACCAAACAAACTTTAAACAATAAAAAGTTGGAATCTACTTTTTCCTTTTCACATACACAATTTAATTTTTTGATAATTTTCCTTTGAAATTACTCTTGCTTTACAAAAAACATTTTAGAAACAAATCAAGATTTCCATCATCATAATTATAATAAAAAAACAAAAACAAAAAAATGTGTCAAAAATTTCGTTTTCTAAAGATTATGAAAAAATTTGAATTGTTCAATCTTTAAGAAATAATTCAAAGTTTTAGTTTTAATCAGGCTTCTTGGTGAAACCCAAAAAAAGAAAGATTGAATTTCTCGCAAATATTAGATCTATTTTTTTTCTTTTTGTATCCAATGGAAGTCAAAACAGCCAAACCAATCGGGCTCAAAATTTGTGAAGCATCTCACAAGATTCCGGAGAAGGTTTATGGAAGCTGAAAACCAAGGTTATAATGCAAGGAAAGTTATTTCAGAGGTGTACGCATACTGCAGTGTACTGACCTTTGGCGGTAATGTAAACACAAGATAGATGTCGAAGCCTGACATGGGATCCATCTTTCACATAAGAAATCAATAAAATATTCTGGTCATAGGACACTATAATGTGAATTATCAAAATTATCAAAACGTAATGCTTTTAACCTTCTTTGATACTAAACGAATACTGATGCATCTATTCATATTTACAAATTCCACCCAGAAAGAACTGGTTTCAATATGTACGCGTAGTATACGCAACTGCAATTAACTTTCCTTGCATTATAACCTTGCTAAAAATTAGAAAAATTTGTCTCAAAAATATTTTGATTTTTGTAAAATTTCGGAAATCTACTAAAAAATATTACTAGATCCGCAAATTTTTGTTGGTATTGTTTAATATTATACGAAAAGTAAATGCTCACAGATAGAGCCACAATTTAACGTTAAAATAGAAGATGGATAGATAGATCCATAAAAGCCCAGTTAATTTACAAGGGGTAACTTTTAAAGGAATTAAAAGTTACTTTTTGGTTACAAATGATTATTTTTATATTTTCCTTGTAAAAAACTTCAAAGTTAAAATCCAACTTAATTTAAAATTTTGAATTGCACAACATATAAAGAGAAAGCTAAGCTCATTCTGAGCAATTTATTCATGATAAATTTAATCTTGTTTTTTACGATTTAAAAGTTTTAAAAAATGTATTTTTCATGAAAAAAATATCTAATTAAAAAACTAAAAACTTTAGAATGAGTCTGAAACAAACATTGCAATAATAATTATGTTAAAGGCATTCTTTTTTTGGCAGAGAAAACAAATATTTTAAGAATGATATATACTTTGGAGAAAAAAACTCAGCGGGAGCGGTTGAACCAGCGGTTGAGATCTAGCCTAGACTCTACGCAGTTCAGAATAAGAAATGCGCCTTTTTTTCTCAAATTTAAAATTTGTTCAATCAATAAATTCCTGCTTTTTTCATTCATATTTTTATTCACTTTTTAAAACTTTTTTAGTAGTTAAACACACTTTTTTGCTTTCAACCGCTGGGCTCAAGATTTTTCAGCAACTTTTTTCCTTTTAACTACTTGCACAGGGTTCCTTTTATCCACCATGGAAAATAATTTTTCATGAAAGACGTTCTCTTTCCACCACTGGTTTTAAAATTTTTCGGCAACTTTTTTGCTTTCAACCGCTAGGTTCAGGATTTTTCAGAAACTTTTTTCTTTAAACCTCTGGGATGCTTTAACACGCTAGAAAACAGTTTTTAATGAAAAACGTTTTCTTTTAAAAACCGGTTCCAAGAATTTTCAGCACCTTTTTTCTTTTAACCGCTGGTTTTAAGATTTTTCAGCAACTTTTTTGCTTTCAACCGCTGGGTTTAAGATTTTTCAGCAAC